CCCCCCCCCCCCCCCTCCTCTCTATTAAGATAGGATTTACCTTACTTTGGGTAATAGAAATCCACTTCTTATTACACCATTCACCTAAGTACTACTTTTTCCAGATAAGATTTCTCCTGTTTCTGGATAGTAAGCCTGCTAATAATATTATTATAAATTATTATTATCACAGTGTTTTCTCATTTCTTTTCTCCCAGTAGCCTAAAGCCCGGCCCAGTGAAAAAAAAAACAAAAAACAATAAAAAACAATAAAACAATAAAATAGACAGAAATAATAATAATAATAACAATAAACAGGCAAAAAAAATTAAAGGAATGAGTACAAGTGCCTCTTTTTTGTTTCAGGGTGTGACACCGAATGTATGGGGTAATGGGTCTGCATGGGGACTGTACTTTTTCAGGTAAGTGATTACAAAAGGGAACAAAACAATATCTTGGATAGATTTCATATTTTAAATACACATTGCTGGGAATACTGTTGAACAGCTACATGCGCATGCATGACCTCAAGGTTCTTTTCTCCCCTATTTTCTTCCATCCCATCTGCTTGAGTTCCTACTGCTGCTATTTTCTTCTCTCCTAGGAAATTAGTACATTAATATTTTGTACATTTTGTATACAGTGTTCAGTCGAACCTCTCCACAATGGCCACCTTGGGGACAGAAGAAAATGGCCCTTGTTGAGAGGTCGCCGTTATGGGGAGCTAGGATTTGTAATATGACAATTTTTTTTAGGGAGCACAACATGTTTACAGTGTTATGTTCATGCTCACTGTCCCATAATGATAATGATAATCCAGTCATATATAACATAAAATATAGTGATAGAAATATACACCAAAAATTTGAAAAAAATTTTGAACGAAAATGACTGTTGTTAACGAGACAAAACCGCAAGGTTCGCAACATTTGCTTAAGTACGTTTGTATCATAGCTATTAATATGCTTACGGCAGCAGTATAAATGGGACATGTTTAAAACTCGAAATGGCAAAATGACTTAAAGTATTTACAAATAATACATATTTTTCTTTGATCGATTTTCCTCCCTACTATTCGGTCGAAGGAGTTACCACGCGCATTCTTGACCCGAGCTCTACACCGTTGCGTGGCCATAAGATTTGAAGGCTTGTTGTCACGCGTGGTGTGCGCACGCAAGCTCATCATACGCGAGAAATTAACTGCAGTGTTATCAGAGACGTCGATGTGGCGGAGCGTATTACAAAGAAAAGCTACTGTCAACTTTAACGTACGTGAGGATGAAGAAGTATAAGTCCAAAGTCAAAAATTGCTAATAGTTCTACAAAGAAACAGGGTATATAATTTCGTGTGAGTCTATCCTAAATATAAACAGGGCATTGCCTGATCTGATTTGCTTAATGAAATATATTTGCAAACAAAAGCAATAACTGTAACGTGAAATTTGCTCTGTTGCAATTGCCAGTTAATGGCTTTAAAACAAGACGGCGTGCAGAAAGTGACAAAACCGAGAAGTCCCTGGGGAGATGAGAGATCCTTAGTACTAGAAAGAACAAGTGACTGCGATAACTGCGATGGCACAACAAAGTTTGTGAGGTCTTGCATCAGCATGCTGAGCAGAGTTTTCCCGGTTCTTGGAAGGCAAAGACACAACAACTGGACACGACAAAATAGAGGAAGTCATTTGTTTTTACTCTGTAGGAAAGTCATTTCGCCATTTCGCTATTTCGTCATTTCGTCATTTCGTGTTTTAAACACGCCCGTGTAAATGAAACACAGTCAAAATATGATTGCCGCGATTTATCATCAACGTGCCGTATGGATCAACTTTTATCACCATTCTTGACTTTTTCGTCAGTCGGTAATTATAGAAGTATATCATGGACGGAACATAAAACCAATGAAGAAGTTTTAAAGATGGCAAATACAAAAGGTCATCATTACCAATACTAAAGAAAAGAAAATGCCAGTATTTTGGACACGTAATAAGAGCGAGGTCGATCAGGCTAAACATCGGGTCCGGTATCCTCAGTTAAAGACTTAGGCATTACACTGGACTCAATACCTCAATTTTAATGATCATGTATATACGTTAACATCGTCTCTCCTGTCCACGTTATATCAGATTAGTAGGGTGAGAAACCTATTTACTAAACCTGTCTTGTCAACTGTTTTGAATTCTCTTATTTTTAGTAAACCTTTTTACTGTTCCACTGTCTGGGCAGGCACCTCTAAGCAAAATCTACAGAAGTTACAATATTATCAGTGCAAAACTTCGCCGCCCGCGTATTAACAGATACTAAAAAGTTTGATCACATCTCGCCTGTTCTTCGGGAATTAGGGTGGCCCTCCATCAAAGATCAGCTATTAGTCCGTGATACTACGCAACAAATACAAAACAAAATTAAACAAAATTGTTAATAGCCTCGCTCCGTTGTACTTGCGTAGTAAACTCAGTAAGCGATCAGACGCACACAACTACAGTACGAGGAAAAAGAGACAATCTAAATCTCCCTCTTTGCAAAACAGTTACTGCGCAACGGTCATTTTACTATCGCGCTGTAAGTGCCTCGAACTCTCTGACCGCAGACACTAGAAACAGCCCGTCACTACGTACCTTTAAGAGGATCGTCAAACGCGAATTGCGGGAGCAGACCCCATACGTTAAATAGTTAATATTTGATTTAGTTTAGATCTCCAAAGAGATGACGTAATTGTACGCGCATAGTTTAGGTTTTGATTTNTTAACAGATACTAAAAAGTTTGATCACATCTCGCCTGTTCTTCGGGAATTAGGGTGGCCCTCCATCAAAGATCAGCTATTAGTCCGTGATACTACGCAACAAATACAAAACAAAATTAAACAAAATTGTTAATAGCCTCGCTCCGTTGTACTTGCGTAGTAAACTCAGTAAGCGATCAGACGCACACAACTACAGTACGAGGAAAAAGAGACAATCTAAATCTCCCTCTTTGCAAAACAGTTACTGCGCAACGGTCATTTTACTATCGCGCTGTAAGTGCCTCGAACTCTCTGACCGCAGACACTAGAAACAGCCCGTCACTACGTACCTTTAAGAGGATCGTCAAACGCGAATTGCGGGAGCAGACCCCATACGTTAAATAGTTAATATTTGATTTAGTTTAGATCTCCAAAGAGATGACGTAATTGTACGCGCATAGTTTAGGTTTTGATTTATACACAGGGTTGAGAGGATTTAGTGACACTCAGTATCCATCTTATAAGTTAAGTTGATGTATTTTCCTCCCTTTCAGGAACTGGAACACTAACAGTGACAAATCCAATATGGGTTATCAAGACGCGCCTCTGTCTTCAGTACACTGGTTCACCAGCTGCCGTTATTCAAGCACCGCAATACAAAGGGATGATTGGTAAGAAAGAAGGAAACTTCGCAAGGACTTATGGGACTGTTACTAGGGACCGGGAAAAAATTGGCCAACAGCTGACTGGCGCGTCCCCGGTAACAATCCCAGAAACAATTGCGGGACGCATTTCGGTTCCAGTTCTCTGTCGTATCTAAAGTGGTAAATGAGCAAACCGGTCGGTTCACGGGTTGGATGAATGGTTTGAAAAATTCAGGCCTAGTAAATTTCATTCTGGAATCGTGTTTACTATTTGTTTTACAAATCAGTTCCATTTACCGAAAAACAGCCGCGAAGGCCTGAAACTGGTATCAAAGATAAATTTTATCAAATGACCGCTTTTTCAGATGTTCCGTTGCTCCCGGAAATTTTCGGTCATGTTAAAACGCAGACCATGCAGACTGCAGACTGCAGACCGTACAGACTGAGGATTTTTTAATGTATCATTTTTATTTATTCATTTCTTATTAATCCTAATTTTTCTCGCTTGAGATATTTTAGAGAAAAAAAAAATAAAAGAAAAGGTAGTATTGGTATATAAAGGAGATAGTTTTTTGAAAAAGTTACTCCTACAGGTTTCGGTCTTCCTAGTGTAAAGTCAGTACCAGTGTCTGTCGATTAGCAGGAAAGGTGAATTGTGTTCTATAATATCTACATTCTATTTTCTTATTAGTACTTTTTCCAACAATGAAAGGGTGTCACAGTGTGTATAGTTGTACACATACATGTATCACTAGCGATAAATGTGTATACAATAAACACCGATGCTAAGTCAACCTCGTTCCCAGGTTCAGGCCTCATCATCGGGACATAATAATTATAAAAATGGCGACTCCAGAGGAACAAATGATTGCTTTGTTTTCAGTTGGATTCTTAAACACTGTACTCGGCACTTATTATCAAAGGGTCTAAGAGAAAATGTCGGAGATTGACCGGTAGCGTGGGGGATACACATATCATTGAACCCTGTCTCGCTTAATTATATTTCTTCGGTCACGATCATCTAACACAACTCGTAACACAAATACGTTTGACAGAGATCAAACCACATGCAAAGGTGGAATATTGTGGCGCTCGCGGGGAAATACACATGTCACTAAACCCAGAGCAGAGATGTGTGTAACCCCTCTATTTATTTATCTATTTATTTATTTATTTGTTTATTTATTTATTTATTTATTTATTTATTACCTTTCGAGTCATCTTTGCTGAATGAAATTACGTCAGTCATACATGTACTTATTTAACACGACCAGTGATAAGGAGAGGAACTCTAACGAATGTTTACAACAACATTGCGGCCCATTAAGACGGAAACTCGCCAGAAAAAGCTGTTTGCGATTATTTTGTCTCGAATCGTTTCTCTTTTGTCGATTGAGTTGCTCACAATCTTGAATCATTTGTAGTCTCCTTGATTATAGAACGTGTGACGAACCCCTAAGAACGTCTGCGTGGGAGATTACTTGATGGTGATTCACAAAATCCACAAAGAACAACGGAAATAAAATCTACACTTGTTTAGAGGGGTCGGGGGGCGGGGGGGAGATACACATTTTACTCACAGCCATATTGGAGGGGATACCCATATCATTAGTGATGTGTACAGGGATACACATATCACTGTGACACCGTGATATATGATATCCCCGTGCACATATCACTATTTCTGGCGAGTTTACTTCTTCGTGGGCCGCAACGCCATTGAAACACATCACGGGAAAACACATATATCTTTAAAAACAAATCCTCAGTCTGCACGGTCTGCAGTGTGCAGTCTGCACATGACCGGGAACTTTTCCAATAAAGGGACACGAAAAGCCGTTTTCCATTTACTGTACTTTTTGTAGTGATAAAATAACGAGTTCCTCCTTCTATTACTGAACAGTTATTTGTCTGACACAATGTCTGTGTGTACTTGATTTACAAAGCCATAGATCATACATGTATTTGTGTTTATTATAAAATCGTTTCGTAATTCTTACTTTTTAGATGCCCTTTTTAAACTTTGGAGACACGAGGGACTCCGAGGATTATACAAAGTAAGTTTGCCATGCTATGTTGCTTGATATAAACGACGTCCTTATTACAAAGTTTACGCAATCACGACGATTATGGCAACAAGAACGTTTAAAAACAATTAAAGGTTTTATGGCGGAAAAAGCAACAACTCTGCACAGTTTCTTGAACATTTCTTTGCCGCCACCGCACGACTACGACGTGAAAATTGCCTAGTTTCACGTTTTGTGGGGGCCGTAAACGAGCGATGACAATTTTCTTTTTTCTGTTTTTTTTTTAATCTTAAATTCATGCGGTCGTCGTTGCTAAAGCTTCTGATGTTTGTTTCTAGCTTTCTAAGCGTCGGATAGCGCTATCTACCAGATAAATCATTATCCAGTAAATGAGTGTGAGGAAAACTAATTACGCCATCTAGTGGGTAAGGATTTTTCTGGTGGATAGCGTTATCAACCTTAGGAAAATAAGCTGGGGCCTGGTGGATAGCGTTAT